GATTTCTTAAAATTAGCTATTGTGAGAAACCAGGCAATTTTCCACCCACAGGTTCTATCAACCACCAGAATTTTTTTTAATCGGATCATTTTTAATGTATGCTTTTTTATGCATACAAACTTGTACAGAAACACAAGGTTAAAAACAAGGAACAGATAAATTAATGAAATAATGTCCTGTAAAATAAAAATAAATGTCTCTGCACTAAAATATGTGGATGTCAGATGAATTCCAAAAAAAATTGCAATAGACTGGGAGAATCCACCATCACCAACACCCCAAAAAAAATTGCTGCCTCTTACCAGACCGAAATGACTACTGGTCAAAAGAGCGCAGTACAGATTCCAAATGTGAATAACGAACCCGGACATTTTTGGTTCCGAAGGGATAAACTGACTCCCAGGTGTTAAATGAAGGAAAATGCCTGTTGGATCACTTTCAAAAGATTCCCATATCAAGACATAAACTTCCATTAACTCTATATGTCTATGTGTTGTTGCCTGCAATAGCAATACTGTGTTGGCTGCTTTTTTTGCTATCAATTTTTGTGTGCCATTTACTTAATATAGAGCGGAAGTGTCAAATTGTTAATAAAACTAGGTATAGACACGCATGCTCATTAAAGAGACAAGTTTGGGTGCAGACAAAAAGGAAAAAAAAACATAGGGGAACAAACATGATTGCTATGATCCCTTCAATGTGGTACTCCAATTTCAGCTCTTCACATAAAATCTCTATAGACTGCGTTCACGGAAATTGGGGAACAGTTGTATTCTGAACCTCACCATGCTAATAAGGACATTGTATAGCCACACCAGACATGTCTCTCATCTTAGCAACGGTATCCTTGCGTACATGTACTAGTAAAGACAATTACCAAAGTATATATCTTTATAACTACCCCTTCCTTAAGTGTAATAAGTGACAAATTATAAAAACCAATATACAACAAAACTTAATTCCCCATAGCACAAAAATAAAACCTTCACCCTTGAAGATTTAAATAACAGTGTACAAAATGTGCCAAAATTACATAAATAAATAATTAATTCAGCTCATATAGTAACTATCAGTATTCAAAAAAGAACTTTAAAAAATCCTAAAAATTATTCAAAAAAATATATAATTCAAAAAAAGTCCCAAAAAAAAGTCCAAACAAAATAAATATAAGTTCTTCCAAAAAATGTAAGTATAAAATTGAAACTGAGAAATCCTTTTCAATCCTTCCTTTCTCACGATAAACCTCAAACAAAAGAAAATATCACATAGTGCATTATCTTTTTAATATAATAAATATTCGTGACAACACTCTGGTGATATATCCAATATAAAGTATATTTTATTTTTTAAATTAATTAGTGTAAAAAGTGAACCAAGTGCATCAATTTAATTAAAAAATATAAAAATTAATTGGTGCAAAACACTGTGTACTGTGAATCACTCTTCCAGTGCTCCAAAAAACAAATCCACACTGTGCCACTTCTATTATAGTAAGGAATATATACCCTTACCAACACTCCTCCAAAAACCTGCTTTCAATGATTATCCTATGGATAAGATCCTCCTAAAGTGCTCCCTCAGATTCCACTGTATTCAGGGCACTTATTCCAGCAGGATTTTTATATACCTCCATATTGATGGCACCATATAGATAAAGAGGATATGAGGGGCAAATAGTGTAATAACGCCAAAGTAAAGTGCAGAGAAACTTTATTAAAAACTGCTCACATTTTCCAAAAGTTTAAAACCGCTTAAATACCGTAGAAACCGCCAAGCTACCATCTAGGGGAACATCCAGGGATCAACACACAGTCTTTATCATTATATAAAATGGCCGCCGGTCGACTTCCGGTTCCGGTATGCGTCCTGACGTCACAGACGCGTTTCGTCATCGACTTAATCATAAGTCGATGACGAAACGCGTCAAGGGCTGTGACGTCAGGACGCATACCGGAACCGGAAGTCGACGGCGGCCATTTTATATAAGGGAAAAGAGATAAAGACTGTGTGTTGATCCCTGGATGTTCCCTGGATGGTAGCTTGACGGTTTCTACGGTATTTAAGCGGTTTTAAACTTTTGGAAATGTGAGCAGTTTTTAATAAAGTTTCTCTGCACTTTACTTTGGCGTTATTACACTATTTGCCCCTCATATCCTCTTTATTATCTATATGGTGCCATCAATATGGAGGTATAGAAAATCCTGCTGGAATAAGTGCCCTGAATACAGTGGAATCTGAGGGGAGCACTTTAGGAGGATCTTATCCATAGGATAATCATTGAAAGCAGGTTTTTGGAGGAGTGTTGGTAAGGGTATATATTCCTTACTATAATAGAAGTGGCACAGTGTGGATTTGTTTTTTGGAGCACTGGAAGAGTGATTCACAGTACACAGTGTTTTTGCACCAATTAATTTTTTTATATTTTTTAATTAAATTGATGCACTTGGTTCACTTTTTTACACTAAATAATTTAAAAAATAAAATATACTTTATATTGGATATATCACCAGAGTGTTGTCACGAATATTTATTATATTAAAAAAGATAATGCACTATGTGATATTTTCTTTTGTTTGAGGTTTATCGTGAGAAAGGAAGGATTGAAAAGGATTTCTCAGTTTCAATTTTATACTTACATTTTTTGGAATTTGTTTGAACTTATATTTATTTTGTTTGGACTTTTTTTTTGGGACATTTTTTGAATTATTATATATTTTTTTTTAATAATTTTTAGGATTTTTTAAAGTTCTTTTTTGAATACTGATAGTTACTATATGAGGTGAATTAATTATTTATTTATGTAATTTTGGCACATTTTGTACACAATTACCAAAGTATACTGTAAGTAAAAAACCGCGTAGTGACCACGTCTTCTCAAATATGTTGCAACAACCCTGCTTTTGGTAAGTAAGTGTTTCTAATGTAGGGTATTTATTGATCTCCTTTAAGGGTCAGTTCATACCTGAATGCAGTGTGGGAAAGGCATGTTCACTGCGCATTTCCCACACTGCGTTCAGTTGCACTGCTCTTGCGATGATATATCATAAATTTATGCACATCTGAAAAGTACAACAATGAGCAACTCGAGCTAGTCCTAGCGGGATGTCAGGATTTGTGTTCAGTCAGTCCACAGGCTGAACATGAGAAAACCAATCCATTCCCCCATCCAAGCTAACAGCATGTACGGAGGAATCGTCACTGTTGTTGGTGGTTTGTCTGCCTGAATAGAGTGCTGCTGCTGAACAGTAACCAAATCTGAGTGTGAATTTCAGCCACTGCAGTAGGGATTAAACAAAATTTGACCAGCCTGTGGGGACCTTTCAGTACAGTGGCATAAAAATGCCTAAAAATTGGATAGAGACTACATACAACTGTTCCATGGGTTCTTCACTAGTCACCACTTTATAGGAGAGTGGCAAAATCAGTAGTTCTTAACGGAAACCCTGAAGGTAGCTGGAATAAAGTTCTATGGTATAAGCAGCTGCGTATTTACCGCAAGGAAAACAAGGCATTTGCCTAAGGCGGCAATGTTCAGAGAGGGGCAATGTGGAGCCACCTGGGGACCTGACAAGGCTCCTCCATGGAATCCAAGGTGGCTGCGCACTGTTGGAGGGTGTAAGCTTCCAGCACTAGGAAGGAAGACACTGGGCTTGGCTCCAGAGAGGTTAAGGTTAGTGCCAATTTTCATCATCCCAATCATGTGCAAGCAAAAAAAAAATTTTTTTTTCTCTGCATTTGATTGGGAATTCTTTAACCATTTACCCTCCTGAGGATTTACCCCCCTTCCTGACCAGGCCATTTTTTGCGATACAGCACTGCATTACTTTGACAGTTGTGCAGTCATGCAACGCTGCACCCACATTAAATGCATGTCCTTTTTTCCCATGAATAGAGATTTCTTTTGGTGGTATTTGATTGCCTGTGCTTTTTTATTTTTTGCGCTATAAAAAAAAAAGACAATTTGGGAAAAAACAATATTTTAGACTTTTTGCTATTAAAAATGTCCAACAAAAAATGTAAAAAATCTAATTTCATCATAAATTTAGGCCAAAATGTATTCTGCTACATGTCTTTGCTAAAAAAAAAATCCCAATACGTGTAAATTTAATTGGTTTACGTGAAAGTTATAGCGATTAGAAATGGTAGTACTGGGAATTTGTTTTTCTACTAGTAATGGTGGCGATCAGCAACTTTTAGCAGGACTGTGGCAGACATTTTGACACTGGAGGGGAACTAACTTGGTGTCACTGACATCCCCAGTGACACCAATACAGTGATCAGTGCTAAAAAAAAAAAGCACTGGCACTGGGCAGGAAGGGGTTAACATGAGAGGTGATCAAAGGGTTAACTATATGTAGGGAGTGTTTTACTACGGGGAGGGGGTGTGTGCTTAACTGTAAGTACACTGATCAGGATGGCTGTGCTGTGCACAGCCATCCCGAGCAGTGTTCCCAAGCTGACAGGGAGGAAGACTATTTGTAAACAAAAAAGTCTTCCCTTCAGAGGTGCTCAGTAGTTACCAGGCGCTGGTGGGTAATTTCCAGCCAGGACCCGGGGATGGACAGCCGCGGCCGCGAAAGGCGGCCCGGGTAGGGTTTGTGCTGTTGGTATGTTTCTTGTGCCTCCCTCCTTTTTGGTGCTAATTAGTATACTGCTGTCCTCAGCTTGAGAAAGGAGCGCTCCTGTCCGTTATGCACTTCAGGCATGCTCAGAAACATGTTGCAACCCCCTAGTGATGTCACTTTACACTTGCGGTGCACGATGAGTTCCAGCCTTTGGCCCCCAGCGACAGAGGCACTGGCCAGCTTTCTCCATCGATACTGGAGGCAGACACCTAAATGCCCCAGCTGTGTATTATGGTGGTCCAGTCACCCTTGGTTACATGATGAGCCTATTATATGTTTTATACATGTGAGTTGCCTAACCTATTTACTATTTAATCTATTAGATGTCGGCGCTGCGTATTCTCTCCTTTGAATATTCAGAGTCAGCTTTGGCTTTCATCTCAGCATGCCCTTAGTAGATGGACTTTTAATCTTCTTACGTTTGGAAGCTTTTAGAGTTCCAACCATGGCTTCAACTAAATTGGCACATTGGTCATCATTAAATAATACACCAAATTTTACTTTCAGTTTCCCATCCTGGTCTCTTGTGCCAAGACGATGTATCTTCTCCACCAAGAGACTAACTTCATGGTCTACATTCATTATCAATCTTGCACTCACCCAGTAAGTTTGCTCCTCTGATCTTTAGGTGGACTATAACTCCAAGGATCAGGGCCCTCCTATCCCTCTTGTCTTGAACTGTATTGTTGCTGTATTGTCTCCCGTTATATTGTAAAGTGCTGAGCAAACTGTTGGCGCTATATAAATCCTGTATAATAATATTAATAATAATACTATTGAATTGATTCCAGGACTATCTAACCATGTTCTATTTGCCTACCTTTCTCACATTGTATCATACTGTAGTTCTTAGCTAGGCACTCCCTGCTCCATTAGGTCTCATGCACACTGGATGCTTTGGAAATCTCTCCTAGGTGCCTTTTTTCCTGGCAGCAGCGTTTGGCAGAAAAAACAGTTGTTATTGCACGTAATGCATTTAGGAACGTACGTTGCTTGTACAATAATTCATTTAATTGGCTATAATAATATAATTTGCCTTTGAAAAAATGAATGGTCAAGTACTAAACGCGCCTAGCGTTACCACATGTTTACACGCATTCCTGGATGCGTCGGCAGTGGGTTTTTCTTCACATTCTAAATGCCCTGGCTTCTAAATCCTGCTAAATGCCTATGTATGCATGAACACACAGGCTAACATGCAGGGGCTTTTAGAGAAAAAAACACTGGACACCGCTAACAGGAGAATTAAAAATGTCCAGTGTGTATGAGGCCTTATACTTGAGGAGTTCCACCCAAAAGTGGAAGCTCCGCTTGTTTGCCTCCTCCGCCCTCCGCTGCAGCTTTTTGGGGGGGAGTGGGTACCTGGTTTTGACAGGTACCCGCTCCCACTTCCTGCTCAGTTTGCCGCTGTGAAGTGAGCTGGAAGTTCGACCCACTTCTTCCTCCCGCAGTCTCCTGGGAACTTTCACAGGTCACAGAAGACTGCTGGACCAATCAGGAGGCGCAGTGCGACTTGCGCATGCGCAGTGGGCACCTGGCTGTGAAGTCGCAAGCTGTCACAGTCTGGTGCCCACAGTTGAGATTCTGGCACCGTGCAGAGAAGAAGAAGAGAAGGAACGGCGCGGGTAAGTACATCGCTGGACCCCAGGGCAGGTAAGTGTGTGTTTATTAAAAGTCAGCAGCTACACAAAAAACATCTGGAACTCCGCTTTAAGTGCATTTTCATTGCCAAGACAGGGCTTAGGAAAGACATTGGGGTTCAATTACTTAAAACTGGAGGGTGCAAATTCTGGTGCACGTCTGTATAGAAACCAATCAGCTTCCAGGTTTTATTGTCAAAGCTTAATTGAACAAGCTGAAGTTAGAAGCTGATTGGCTGCCATGCACAGCTGCACCAGATTTTGCACTCTTCAGTTTTAGTAAATCAATCCTTCACTGTTACAAATCTAACACAACTGATGAGATGATATCTGCCTCCAGACAGGGTAATGGCAAACAGCTTCCATAGTTGCCAACATTTCAAAAAAAGGTTTTAGGGACACCTTTTTTTCTGTGCGTCCATAAAGCTGCTGTAGGTGGGGCATCTACTTTAGGGGAGGGGCATTCATTTAATATGGGCGTGGTTCCACAAAATGGTTAATCGTGTCCAAGCTCAAGGGATCTGCTAGCAATAAAAGGGTTAATCATGTCTCTAGCCAACAGGGATCTTAGGCTAGTAAGAGTGCTGGTGGCTAGAGACATGATTGACCGTTTTTATTGCTAGCAGATCCTTGCTGGCTTTACATTTTAAAGGTGGGAATACATGATTAGAAAATCGACCGATTGGTCATTTGACAACCGAGAGGCGATCATTCATTGATTGAAATTGTGGCCCACATTAACCAATCTAAAAAAAATCGTTCATCGGGCAATATGTAGTGTTGACGTCTTCCGTACAAGTGGAAGTGATGCAGTTTTAGTAAATCAACCCCATTGTTTACTTATACTTCGAAAGACTAGAAAAACATCCTGCACTTATCTGACGTAAAACTATGTTGGATTTAATCTCTGTCTTATTGAGAAGTTAAACTGCCTGTAGATCCTACTGAGTCAACAAGTGTCCATACTTAAAGAAGTATGGTGTTGCATAAAGCTTCATTTAAAACAGAATATGAGGACAGATCTAAACAATCCATTTGTATCAAATCAAGTGAACCCTAGTACTGCATAAATATTGGTAGATCTAAGAGGGATTGTACAGATTATATAGTGTATGGTCGGCTTAGTTGCTGCAGTGATATCGCCAATTCCTATTGAACATACAGCATAAGGTCTATTACTGATATACTGTACAAAACAGCTGCCCTAATCATTTTCTTCATGGTGTCACCTTTTCTTGGTGAATTAGCAGGCGGCATTTTCATTTTTATTGGCTGTCTAAGCAAAAATCCTTCCTGTGTTTCCAAAAAAAACACTCTGCTTCAAAAATGTTTGCTGCCTGTTGTGTTGTGCAGCATTTTGTCTCTATTTTGAAGAAATGAATTGTATTTTTTACTCCCGAACATTCAATTTGGTTGTTATTAAATAGAAAAAGCACGTTTTGTATTTCTGCATTTTTCTTTGCCTGTAAATGGATGTCTTTGAGGAAAGTGCTGGAAAGAGCTTTCTAGTTAGGCCGCCAGAGAGAGGGAACAGCTCTGCACATCATATTCCTTCTTCAATGTTGCAGAACATAGCGAGAGTCATTTTTTTTTTTGGCGGTAACGGGCCTGTTAAAAAATGTTCTATTTGCAGAAAATGGTGAGTTTGATCTGCAATCATCTGACATTGTCTCTCTGAGTGCAGTTTAGGTTTTTTTATCAGGATTAATGTATGGATTAAATGTAAGAGATTTACAAAATAGCCTCTGGCTTGGTGCTTGACGACAGTATATTGAGGAGCTGTCAGTTGGAAAGGTAAACAAATACCAGCAGTTAGGCTGCATTCACACTTAGCGAATTTGAGCTTTTTTTGCACCCAAATTTTTGCGTGATTTTGCACGTTTTCATACAGCATTTTTAGGTGTTTTTGAGCTTTGCTGTTTTTTTGTTAGTCAATAAAGATATCATCTGTTGCTAGGTTTTTCAGCTTTCTTAGCTTTTCCATCAGCTTTTCTTTCTTTTTTTTTTATTATTATTATTATTCATTTATTATTATTGTTTTTTGTTAGGGTAAGGGGTTAGAGTTAAGGTTAGGATTAGGGGTTAATATTTTGTTTACTGTCTTCTTCTTATTTATTTCTTTATTCTTTTATTTTTTTTTTGTTAGGGTTAGGATGTTACGAAGAATACTAATAATAAATGAATAACTAAATGTAAAATAAATACACAAATAAAAATAATCAAATACAATAAATTAATACTATGTAATAATAAATAAATAATAATTAACCCCTAACTAACCTTAACCCGTAACCCTTAAAAAAATGGAATGAATTATTATTGTTATTATTAATAGTAATAATATTATTATTATTATTATCAATAAGTAAATAAACACCCTAATCCTTACACAAAATAAATAAATTAATAGTAATAAAGTATTATTTATTTATTTGTTAATTGTTCGGGTTTAACTTATTATTAATAATAATTTAATATTTTTAGGGGGTTAAGGTTAGGGGTTATTATTTATATAATATTAAATATTTTTAATTGTGTTATTTATTATGATAATTTTTATTTGTGCATTTATTTTACATTTATTTATTCATATGTTATTACACATTTTTTTTTTACAGCAGAAAATCACGCTAAAATGAGCGAAAACATACAAATTGTTTTCATACATTTCTATTGGAATGAAAAAAGGCACCAAAAATGCGTAAATCTGTCCAATATGAGCTAAAAAAAAAAAGCTCCAGAACTTGTTTAAGCTTTAGGCCTTGGCTTCAGGCGGCTTGGAGTGGAGATATGAACCATCTCCATTTGGAGCTTCGAGCTACAAAACACTAAGGCATGAATGGGGCCTTAGGCTGTATTCACATCTGTGCATTTGAGGTCATATGCACTGATACGCATATTTTACTGCAAATTACTGCAACCCATGATAATGCACAAAATGAATTATGGTGCACTGCAGTGTAATTTATTGAGTAAATAAGGCCCCATTCATTTGAGCAATTTGGAATTGCGGGCAGAATCGGCGCTATTGTGCCCATGATTCTAAATCGTGCAAAAGGCTCGATATGTGTTTAGGCACCATCCATTCTGAATAGCACCCCAAGTGCCGTGTGATTTTGTTGCTACTGTCACACAACAAAACACATGAGAATCACGTAAAAACTCAAAAACATAACTTGGTCCCGGAGCTTCTTTGGTGCAAGAAGTGTGCATAGGGAAGCCCATTTAAGTGACTGGGCTGCATATTCGCAACATGCGGAAACGCGTGTAAATCATGCTTTCCAAATTTAGCGGGAACCCGCATTCCTATTAACTAGTAGCCGACCGCAGATAGCCGAATGACGGCTGCACTGTGGCCGGCCAGTTCTGAGTGGACGTCATATGACGTCCCCCCAGAACGCACTCTCCAGGGGGCGCGCACCCGGCGATCTCTGTGATTGCTGTGTCCTACGGACACAGCTGATCACGTGATGTGGTAAAAGGCCAATCACAGCGGCCTTTTACCACGTGATCAGCGGTGTCCAATGACACGCTGATCACAGGGAAATGCAAGTGCCGGTTCTCGGCTGCACTTTCCTCACGCTGTCAGATCGTGAGGAAAGTACTGCCGAGAACCGGCAGTTGTCAGAGCGGGGATCGGCACCGATCATGAGGATCACTGATGATCAGTGCCCTGATGATTGGTGCCCAGCAGTGCCACCCGCAAGTTCCGCCCACCTGTGCCCAGCAGTGCGCCCAATAACTCCGCCCACCTGTGCCCAGCAGTGCACCCACCTGTGCCCAGCAGTGCATCCACCTGTGCCACTCTGCAGTGTCACACACCTGTGCCCAGAAGTGCCACCTACCTGTGCCCAGCAGTGCCACCCACCTGTGCCCACCAGTGCCACCCACCTGTGCCCACCAGTGCCACCCACCTGTGCCAGCCCACCAGTGCCCGCCCACCAGTACCCCCCCACCAGTGCAGCCCAGCAGTGCTGCCAGTCAGTGCCACCAGTCAGTGCCCAGCGGTTGTGCCAGTCAGTGCCCAGCAGTGATGCCAGTCAGTGCCGTCTATCAGTACCCATCATCAGTGTCACCTATCAGTGCCGCCTATCCGTGACACCTCATTAGTGCTGTCTTTCAGTGCGCCTATCCGTGCCACCTCATTAGTACTGCCTTAGTACTGCCTATCAGTGCCCATCAGTGCTGCCTCATCAACGCACATCAGTGAAGGAGAAAAATTACCTGTTTGAAAAATTTTATATTAGAAACAAAGAAACGTTTTTTTTTTTTTTCAAATTTTTTGCAACTTTTTTATTTATAGCGCAAAAAGTAAAGCGCCCAGTGGCGATTAAATACCACCAAAAGAAAACTCTATTTGTGAGAAAAAAATTATCAAAATTTCATATGGGTACAATGCTGCATGACTGACCGCGCAATTGTCAAAGTGCGGCAGCGCTGAAAGCTGAAAATTGGCCTGGTAAATAAGGGGGTATAAGTGCCTGGTAGGCAAGTGGTTAAGTGATATATGAATAGGGCCTTCAATCCCAATGCACTTGGCCAGGTTGACAGATGTACATTGTGGTGTGCTGCCTTGAAAAAATCTGGTAAGACCTGAAAATTGCTGCATCGGTGGCCCTATTTAAAATGAATGGGCTGCTTGTTAACATGAAATTACTGTGTCTCATATCACTTGAAGGAAGAGGCCCTAAATGTTGGCGCTTTTATTTTTTAAGCTTCATGCCTAAACATCTGGAAACATGCAATGCGTTCCTATGGTTGAATTCACAGTAGACATTTAGCACCGTTTTGCTGTGTTTACGTAAACGAGAAATTTGTGTGTTCAGAGATTTAGTCTGGTTTGCTGCAGCTAAATGCACGTAAAATTACATTCATCTAGATCAGCCTTTCTCAACCAGGGTGCCTTGAGGCTTCTTCAGGGGTGCCTTGGCAAAATGTCCAAAAATTGCTCAAAACTTGTATACAAGCCAGCGGGTGGAACAAGTCCGCCTTTTAGATACACAAAGCCACAGGTTTTCATTGTGCACCATTGCGACCTTCTAGCTACCGGTGTCCTGACAGCCAATAACATCAGTTGATAAGGAGGATGTCAGCCGCCTGCACAGCATCCTAGTCTGATCATCCCCTGCCCCTCTCCATCAGTTCTGGGGTCACATTAGCTCAGTGATGGAGAAAAACTGTGGGAGAAGAGAAACACTGGAATACTAGTCAGTACCAGTGCGCAGAAGTGTATTTGCTTTGGAAGAATAAATCGCCTCTAATGTTGGGTGTCCTACATGTGTGGATGTTGCTGCGTTATATAAAACTATTAGAATAGTTTTTCACATTTAGAATGGGGTGCCACAAGACTGTCCATTATTTTAAAGGGTGCCTTGACTGAAAAAAAGGTTGAGAAACACTGATCTAGATGAAGGTGAAATGGATCTGAGAAGTATAAGTTGGTAATACTTCCCAGCTTGTCCAGTTAAGCTTTGACAATAAAATCTGGAAGCTGATTGGTCACTATGCAGAGCTGGTTCGGATTCTGTGTGCACCATTTTTAGTAAATCTCCCTCAAAGTGTCTGCATCCAGGGTTGTACATCCATGCATGTGTTTACCTGTGTGTACCCACGTCCTGTAATTGCTTTCTATGGGGGGCTGTAGGCAGCAGCTGAGGCTCCTGGAAATAATTTTACATGTACACAAGTTCTGTACACCCCCTAGTGGCTGAGTACATGAGCCCATCAATACAGGAGGCCCCCTTATGCATGAGATTCTGATGTTCTGCTGTGGGCAGAAGGCACATATACAACATCCAGCCCTGCTGACAGCTGCTTGAGAGGCTGAAAACTGCTGCTGCAGGATGGGGTTGGCCAGTGATTCTGAGTGATACTAACATTTTGAGCCATATGTGCACAGGTATGAATACCCAGAACACAGGCTTCCTGTGTTCCATGCATTTGTCCCTAGGTATGTACTATCCTAAATGTAGTACCGCTAGGTGCACCATCCAGCTTCAGCAGTATTCGGCCTCTCGTAAACTGCTGCTGACAGCAGTACTTGGTGGTGCACCTTTTGCCTTCTGCTGGTATAAAGATCTCATGCCCCGGTAATAAGTGTCCAATGTGCATGAGGTCTTATACTATATTACCCACATACCTCCCGCCAAATTCTTGACAACCCATGACGTCACTCTGCCCCATTTATTTACTGGTTGGGGATCCCTAGCCATGTAAACAAAGGGGCTGAGATCATGCTCTGGTGTTCTGTTTGTTTTACTCTTAAGTCATTGTGTACAATGCAGAACCAACAGTCCATACTTGCCAACATATTCATCTCCTGCCCACCTTCCTGGAGGTCCCAACTAGATCCTACCACCTCCTACATTTTTCCATCCCTAATCAGGCAGGAAATGCTCACTTTCAGACACGTCCCCCTTAATGAATGCCCTTTTTGTTAGTTACTGTGCATGCTCGGGAACTCAAGGGTAATGTAATCTCAGGATGCAGCCAATGACACAGCATCATCGGGAAAGAGCAACTAGATGGGACCTAAATATGGGACTGTCCTACCATTGTGAGGATGCCAAGGACCTGTCCACTATTCAAAGCATCAGAGGAAAGAGGAGAGTTCCAGCTACTGGGGCAGTGAGGGATGAGTAAAACTGCATTTGATGGTACCCTAGACCACTGGTCTCCAAACTGTGTCCTTGGGGCCAGATGTGGCCCTTTGCTTGCCTTTATCCGGCCCTTGGGACACTATTCCTCCCAATGACACTGTAGATGGGGCACTATTCTTCCCTTTGATACAAGCCATGGGGCACTATTTCTTTTGCTAAAACCAACAACGGGGCACTATTTTTCCAGTTAAAACCAAACGTTGGGGCAGTTCAGCTTCAAAGTGTTGGATCTTACATCTATGTTCCTACTTGCTGAAAAGGACCAAAAAAACATTTTCTTCAAAATGCCTCCCCCAGTCTTTGTTTTTCTTAGAACTCTAATTTCTTGGGTAAATACAGTACGCCTTTTCAGTAATCTCCAACTCCTGTTTAAAGTTTAAACAACAATCATCTCCAGCTCCTCTTTAAAGTTTAAGCAAGGCTAAATGATTGAAAGATCTACCCAGGGAGACGACAGCTGTATTATAGAGTCTCTGGAATGCTTTGATACTGTATTGTAAAGCCTAAACTGTCTTTTTATTCTCCTTCATTGAGATAAAGCCAGAGTTGCACTGTATTTTATTTATTTTAAACAAGCTTTAACTTTATATAACAAAAATTTGTAAGACTGCTAGTAAGACAGATTCAAACCCACTAAAATCTCATGTTTTAGCACAGTGGTTGTCAACTCATGAGCCATAGGGGGCCTCAACTGTGGCCCCTGACATCACCAAAGGTCCTCACATAATTTCCAATATACACTGTATTTCCAAAAGTATTGGGACACCTCTCCAAATCTTTGGATTCAGGTGTATAAAATCAAGCACCTAGGCATGCAGACTGCTCCTACAAACATTCATGAAAGAATGGGCCGCCCTCAGGAGCTTACCTGTGCAATAAGTCCATCCGTGACATTTCCTGGCTACTAAATATTCTACGGTCAACTGTCAGTGGTTTTATAACAAAGTGGAAGCAACTGGGAACAACAGCAACTCAGCCACAAAGTGGTAAGCTACGTAAAATGACAGAGCGGGGTCAGCGCATGGACTGTGAGTAGAAGTTGCCAACTGTCTGCAGAGTCAACAGCTAATGACCTCCAAACTTCATGTGGCCTTCAGATTAGTACAACAACAGTGCGTAGAGAGCTTCATGGAATGGGTTTCCATGGCTGAGCAGCTGCATCCAAGCCTTACATCACCAAGTGCAATATAAAGTGTCGGTTGCTGTGGTGTAAAGCACATCACCACTGGACTCTAGAGCAGTGGAGACATGTTCTCTGGGGTGACCTTTTATGCTTCTCTGGCAATCCGATGGACGTGTCTGTGTTTGACGATTGCCAGGAGAACAGTACTTGCCTACATCAAAGTTGCACTCAAGTCACATTAATGTCGCACCCATCCAAAGTGGCATCGAAGTTAATACTTTCCTACTGACAATAAAAAAGCATCAAGAACACAACACTTGCATTTCTGGTGCAGGGCCATTGAAGTCTATTACATGCAAAACGTAATCTGCTGTGGAAAATAGTTCCAAGCTAAGTGTGAAGCTAGGGTTAAAGTATATGTAACCTTCACCTTGCAAAATAACTTGTTAAAGTTTAAAATAGGGATGAAAGGTAAAACGTGTGTATAGATAAAATATAAACACCTTTTCCCTTTTTTTATAAGTGATCACATACCCTCTATTCTCAGCTGCATATAGAGCCGGGGAGGAGAAACAACAGAATACTGAACTTCCTAGTGAATGGCTGTGGGGGGAGGGGGGAGTCTGCACAAGTCTGATCATTGGAGGAGAGCACACTGAGTTCCCAAAACAGATAGAGAAAACTGACTACGCTGTGCTCTCATGCCTAGTGTTGTCAATTTTAATAGGAATGCAGAAGGACTGGCAGGATTTCACACAAAGGAAGCAATACAAAACTAACAGGATATTTTTTTGCACATACCTGGAATATGAAATGTTGGGGTAACATATTCTTTAACCTTTCCTTAAGACAGACAGGGATTGATTTATTAAAGCCGGAAAGTGCGTAATCTGGTTCAGCTCTGTATAGAATCCAGCTTCCAGGTTTTATTGTCAAAGCTTAATTGAACAAGCTGAAGTTAGAAGCTGATTGGCTGCCATGTACAGCTGCACCAGATTTTGCACTCTTCAATTTTAGTAAATCAATCCTTCAGTGTTACAGATCTAACACAACTGATGAGATGATATCTGCCTCCAGCTTCCATAGTTGCCAACATTTCGAAAAAGGTTTTAGGGACACCTTTTTTTCTGTGCGTCCATAAAGCTGCTGTAGGCGAAGCATGTACTTTAGGGGAGGGGCATTCATTTAATATGGGCGTGGTTCCACAAAATGGTTAATCATGTCCAGCCTCAAGGGATCTGCTAGCAATAAAAGGGTTAATCATGTCTCTAGCCAATAGGGATCTTAGGCTAGTAAGAGTGCTGGTGGCTAGAGACATGATTGACCGTTTTAATGCTAGCAGATCCTTGCTGGCTTTACATTTTAAAGGTGGGGATACATGATTAGAAAATCGACCGATCGGTCATCCGACAACCCGAGAGGCGTTCATTCGTTGATTGAAATTGTGGCCCACATTAACCAATCTAAAAAAAATCGTTCATCGGGCAATATGTAGTGTTGACATCTTCCGTACAAGTGGAAGTGATGCAGTGTGCGTGTGACCTTGTAGCCACGCCCTTCCGGCCAGAACAAGCGATATACACAATTACCAGCAATGAGTATAATATAGTTTCTTACATGACCTATATACATAAATAGTGATACATAGAATATAATATACAGAATTCTGGTTTCATGATCTCATTAGGCCAATCTACTTTTAACATTTGGATTTATCGTTCATGTTTACGAAGATTCCTTGGACATAAACATCCGGGGTCATCTTCTGTTTCTTCTCATGCGTGATAGCGCTTGATAGATTTTTTTCGTACGACCCTCATACCACCGCATAGAAAATCGGTCGTTCGTATGCGAAACTACATTTTTCACTGTTGTTCAACTGGATTTTTTCATTCACAATATCGTTATCAGTTAAAACATCCTGCTCGTCAACGAAGAGAAAATCGTTCGTTAAGATGTTCCGCAAAATTTTTCATATGATTTTCTTATTGCGTGTACAGGGCATTAGCAACTGTGCAGGCTACAAAGATCCCTGTGGCTAGAGACATGAGCTAGCAGAGATCGACCTTGCTGCTCACATAGACCTACTGTTCTGGTAAGATCAACTATGCAAACACTTCTGCGTTATTATACTCTGTCACTCGTCCCTGCTCACCCCCCTGTACACCTCTGCCACCACTCTAGCCACCTCACACCCCTCTCTACCTTGAGCACAACTCTGACCTCATTATGCCCCTCTTCTGCACCCACCTACCCGCCCCACCCCTGACATACCTCTGCTGCAACTGTACTCCTGCTGTGTACATCTGTTACCAATGTGCACCCCTAGAAACCTCTATACCCCAGAACACACGACTGCCCTCCCCCCACAAACATTTCTACACGCTGTACCTCCCTCTCCACAACTGCACTCCCCCTCAATTTTTTTGCCACCTCTGTTAGTATTAGTTGGACACCACCGTCATTTATACTGTCGCAATTACTGCAGGGCCCGCAGTGCCAAGATCATTTTTCAGCCGCACCGCCTTCCTATGGTGTAAACAGCATCAGACAATACCCGATGGTACCCGATAAAAGCCAAAGTTCAAAAAACCGTGAAATTCACAGCTAGTTTGCAGTATCTGCCCATCGGCTGTCCCATGGGACTCCATGTTTTTCCTTTTTACATAGAAACTGCCCAAGGACCCAAAACGGATTGCTGTGCCATCAATGAGGGGGTCAGTTACTGTGATCTCTCTCTCTATGCTGTCTCCTTCCATCTGTGTTTGGTTTATCATACATTTTAAAAGAGATGTTTTTTTTTTTTTTACATACAGAAGTAATCCACTTTAAGTGCACCATCTGCAGCCACAAACAACACACTGGTCAAAAAAAAAATTGAAGGAACTCTTTTTAATCTAGCATCAAGTCAATGAAACTCCTGGGGTATTGATCTGGTCAGTTGTTGCAGAGGGGGTTGTTAATCAGTTTCAGCTGCTTTGGTGTTAATGAAATTAGCAACAGGTGCACTAGATGGTCAACAGTGAGACAACCCCCAAAACAGGAATGGTTTTACAGGTGGAGGCCACTTACATTTTTTTCCCTACTCATCTTTTCTGAGTCTTTTTCACTAGTTTTGCATTTGGCTAGGGTCAGTGTCACTACTGGTAGCATGACACAATAACTGGGCCCTACAGAGGTTGCACAGGCAGTCCAACTCCTCCAGGATGGCACATCAATACATGCCATTGCCAGAAGGTTTGCTGTGTCTCGGCGCAGTCTCAAATGCATGGAGGAGATTCTAGGAGAGGCAGTTACTCTAGGAGAGCTGGACAGGGCTGTAGAAGGTCCTTAACCCATCAGCAGGACCAGTATCTGCTCCTTTGTGCAAGGAGGAACAGGATGAGCACTGCCAGAGCCCTACAAAATGACCTCCAGCAGGCCACTGGTGTGAATGTCTCTGACGAAACAATCAGAAACAGACTTCATGAGGGTGGCCTGAGGGCCCAACATCCTCTAGTGGGCCCTGCGCTCACTGCTCCCCCATCATAGAGCTCGATTGGCATTTGCTACTGAACACCAGAATTGGCAGGTCCGCCACTGGTGCCCTGTGCTTTTCACAGATGAGAGCAAGTTCACCTTGAGCACATGTGACAGATGTGAAAGGGTCTGGAGAAGCCGTGGAGAATGTTATGCTGCCTGTAACATCGTTCAGCATGACTATTTTGGTGGTGGGTCAGTGATGGTCTGGGGAGGCATATCCATGGAGGGACACACAGACCTCTGCAGGCTGGACAATGGCACCCTGACTGCCATTAGGTATTGGAATGCAATCCTTGGACCCTCTGTCAGACCCTACGCTGGTGCAGTGGGTCCTGGGTTCCTCTTGGTGTACAACAATGCCTGGCCTCGTGGCGAGAGTATGCAGGCAGTTCCTGGAGAATGAAGGGATTGATACCATTGAATGGCCCCCATGCTCGCCTGACCTAAATCCAATAGAACACCTCTGGGATATCATGTTTCGGTCCATCTGATGCCACCAGGTTGCACCTCAGACTGTCCAGGAGCTCAGTGGTGCCCTGGTCCAGATCTGGGAGGAAATACCACAGGACACATCTGTTGTCTCATTAGGAGCATGCCTGGATGTTGTCAGGCATGCATACAAGCACATAGGGGCCATACAAACTACTGAGGACCATTGTGAGTTGCTGCAATGAAATTTCAGCAAAATGGATTAGTCTGCTGCATCATTTTTTCACTTTGATTTTCCGGGTGTCTTTGAATTCAGTCCTCTGTAGGTTGATAATTTTCATTTCCATCAAACAATGGGGCATCCTTACGTTCCTAAGACATTACCCAGTCCATATCAGTATAGATATCCAGCAGGAGATTCTTCCCCATTGAGATCTGATGTGTTTTTCAAAGTGTTCCTTTAATTTTTTTGAGCAGTGTGTAAAGGGAAACATATACCTCCTTTGTGAAGATAATTACGTTCACACTGCCTGAGGCCAGCACCGTGTTCACTACAACATCCTTTGAAAACCTGCACATGTGCCATGTGTAGCCATAGACAATAATAGCCCCGGGTGGTGGAAACCTAATTTCCTGCACAACAGAGGTATGTACCTCATATTTTTCATGTAAAAGTGCAATAATTGCGAGGTGGGCTAAGAAGCCCTCCAATAAATCAGTGGCAATCACAGTACAGTCTTATGAATACTGAATTCCAGGCAAACAGCTGAACAGTTGAAATATGGGAACTGATTTACCTGCCAAATGACTTGTATTTCTGTCCATCCAGTCCTGGGCTTTACACAACTCTGGCACATAGCTGGCAGAATAGGAGACCTGATTTTTCTCTGTTGCAGTTCAAAAACATTTACAGGTCTTGTCCCTCTCCTAGACTATGACTGTAAGGCTCCATTCACACCTATGCAGTTTGCTTTTTTGTCCATTTTGCAGTGCTTTTACAAGTTCGTTTTATGTACACGCGTTTTTGCAGTGCGTTTTGTTCAGCTTTTTTTTGTTTAAAGTAGAATTTTTTTTTTTTTTTCTTGCTGGGCAGAATAAAAATCCGGCAAAAACGCACTACCATTCATTTTAGCAGATTCTCCATTGAACTCTATTGTAGCAAAAATGCCTTTCCAAAAAATGCAGCAGCTCAAAAAAGCTGCTGCATGTGAACATGTTCCATAGGAAACCATGTTACATGGACTGTAGTTCGTTTCTGCAAAAAGCACTAAAAAACGCATTGGTGTGAACAGAGCCTTAAATGATAAGCAGAAGACTGATGAGCTCATCGCTCTGCTCTCTATTACAGGGATTGATATACAGTAGCACCAACAATTAACATATATATTGTACATTCACATCAGTCCCTGCCCTCAAGGAGCTTGCAATCTAAGGCTCACGTTCATACATACAGTATATTAGGGCCAATTTAGACAGGAGCCAATTAACCAACCAGCATGTCTTCACAACTGTGAACGAGCTCCAACGAGTGCTGTTCAGCATTATTTCGGATGCACCAAATAAGTCTGACAACCTCAAACGTAAGAGAAACGTTTCCTTAGGTAGTCGTATACACAGATACGCTCTGTGCCTAAACACAACGGTTCTGGCTGTGTGTCTGGCTGTATTTAAAGATCGGTCATTATCTCAGGTATAACATTATCAAGTTTTGAAAGAAAGTTCTTGAGTCATTATTGAAGCATTTACCCTGTGTTGTTTAAGGCCCTTTTGACATTCATTGGTATAGTGAAGGCCGAGGAATCATTACTCTACAGAAATAGCTTCCCTAATGAGTGTTGGGTTTTCTGGCTGCATACATTTAATGAGACAATGGAGACTTAATGGATTTCTCTGAGACGTGATAACCTGTACCAACCTTGTGTACAATATGGTCAGCCCCATCTCCTCAGTCCATTACCTGCTGAAAGTGAAAGAAAGTTTTCTACTTCGCAAAGGTGCATCAGACTCCGGATAGCAGGAGGACGATTGATCGCACTTATGGTTTTGGCAGTCGTTTTTACAGTTAATGTAATACAGCTCAAGTTGTAATGTGAAGCTGAACTCTACAGGAAAACTGCTAGATTCACAGTGGAAATACACATATTTCTTTTCTGCTGAATCATTTATATTTCTGCCCAGCCAGTTTTGTGATTTAAAAAAAAAAAAAAAAAAAAAAAATATATATATATATATATAGATATATATATATATATATATATATATATATATATATTTTTTTTTTTTTTAATTGTACACCCCTTGAGGGTTAGGGACTGATACATAGTTGCATAGTTAGTCTGGCTGAAAAAAGACAAAAGTCCTTCCATTTCAACCATAAACAGGTGAATGTACAATATTATTATTATTCTACAGGTACTTTTAGAATGCAGCGCTTTACATATATATATTGTTCATTCACATCAGTCCCTAACCCTCAAGGGGCGTACAATCTACGGTCCCTAACTTACTTTCATACATACAAGGGCCAATTTAGACAGGAGACGATTAACCTACCAGCATGTCTTTGGAGTTTGGGAGGAAACTGGAGTACCCGGAGGAAACTCACGCAGGCACAGGGAGAACATGCAAACTCCAGGCAAGTGGTGCACTGGCTGGGATTTGAACCAACGACCATAGTACTGCCAGGCGAAAGTGCTAGCCATTTAGCCACTGTGCTGCCCAATATGTAAATGTAAAGTGCTGCGTAAATTGACGGCGCTGTACAAGTACCTGTAATAAACAAAAAATAAATAAAAAAAATATACTTCTGTGAGACAGCATAGCCAGGAAGGTGACACTGCTTTCTCTATGCAACTTGCGACACATGACAAGTCAAAACATATTCATTATAATGGGTGCCATCTTAATCAATGCGACTCACATTGCAGGAAGGCTACTTTTACACTTTTTGAAGCGTTTTTGCATTAAAAAAAGCACCTGAAAAGCTTAAGAAAAATGCTTCCTTATGTATGTGAATGTATATCTATGTATGTTTTCATACTGAGGCATTGCTCTTGCAGTGCGGTGTAAAAACTTCTGCTTGCAGCATCTTTGGGGTATGTTTGGTGAGTTAAGAAAAATGCCCCAAAAACGCCTCTTCCCATTGAAATCAATGGAAAACACCTGAAAAAGCGCCTCAAAAATGCCTTAAAGCACCTCAAAGTGCCTCTGAGAAGTGTTTTTGGAGCAGTTTTTAAGTCACGGGTCCTTTAACCACCTCTCACCCGCCATATAAGGAAATGACGGGCGCAAGGTGGTTCTCTCGTTCTGAGAGGACGTCATATGACGTCTTCCCATTCCAACCGCGCATGTGTGGCTCTGGTAGCGCGCAGCGCGGCGATCGGTGGTGCACAGTGGATGACCGATCAACAGAGCCGAAGATTTCGGCTCGGTCATGTGATCAGCTGTGTCCAATCACAGCTGATCTCATGTAAATAGGGAAATGACGGTTATCGGCATTTCCCTCCTCACGAGCTGTCATGCTGACAGCTCGAGAGGAGAGGAGAACCAGTAATCGGCATCCCTCAGAAGGGAAATGTGCACTTATCCTCAGGGCATTGATGATCAGTGTGCCCTGATGATCTGTGTAGCCCCAGCAGTGCCACCTGTCAGTGTCCATCAATGCCACATATCAGTGCCTACCAGTGCACATCAATGCCACATATCAGTGCTCATCTGAGCTGCCTTTCAGTGTCACATATCAGTGCTGCCAGTCAGTGCCGCCTATCAGTGCCAGTCAGTGCCGACTATCAGTGTGCATCACAGTGCCAGTCAGTGCCAGCTAACAGTGCCAGTCAGTGCCGCCTATCAGTGCCAGTCAGTGCCACCTATCAGTGCCATTTATGAGTGCTGCCTTTCAGTGCCCATCAGTGATGCCTGCCAGTGCCTCCTCATCAGTGCCAATCAGTGCCACCCAGGGGCGGATTGACCATTTGGAAACTCAGGCACTGCCCGAGGGCCCGGGGTCAGTAGGGGGCCCCATGAGATGCCCCTAGTACCTTTTTCATAGGCTTTTTTTTGAGTTTGGGCAAGGACACAGGGGCCCATGATCCCCTATTGCCGGGGGGCCCCATGAGTTGTCAGTCCGCCCCTGGTGCCACCTATCAGTGCCCATCACTGCAGCCTCATTAGTGCATATCAGTGAAGGAGAAAAATCACTTATTTGCAACATTTTAAAACAAAAACTAAAAAAAAAACTTTTTTCAAAATTTTCAGTTGTTTTTGGTTTGTTTAGCAAAAAATAAAAACCCAGAGGTGATTAAATATCACCAAAAGAAAGCTCTGTCTCAAAAAAATGATAAAAATGTCATATGGGTACAGTGTTGCATGACCGTGCAATTGTCATTCAAAGTGTGACAGTGCTGAAAGCTGAAAATTGGCCTGGGCAGGAAGGGGGTATAAGTGCCCTGTAGGCAAGTGGTTAAAAACGCTCAAAAAGCACAGTAAATACACCTATGCGTTTTTGTTGTGTTTTTGCAGTATATCAGTGTGAAATTAGCCTAAAAAAGAACTTCCTGCACTACTTCTCTGCAGCTTTGGTGCAACTTCAGTGCCATAGACTGCAATATTAAAGTCACAAAAAATTGTCTTAGTGGATGAGACTTTGAGGTGACTTTGGAGCAGGGGCGGACTGACCATTTGGAAACTCGGGCACTGCCCGAGGGCCCGGGGTCAGTAGGGGGCCCCATGAGATGCCCCTGGTACCTTTTTCATAGGCTTTTTTGAGTTTGGGCAAGGACACAGGGGCCCCATGATCCCCTATTGCCCAGGGACCCCATGAGTTGTCAGTTCACCCCAGCTTTGGAGTGTTTTTAACTAGTGGTGCACCAAAATAAAAATTCTGGACCAAAACCTGAAAATTCAGGATTCACTTGGCCGAAAACGGAAAACAAAATGGACAGGTTTTAAAAATATATTTTTTTTTATATAATTGTATTATATTCAACTTTTTAATTAATATCATAAATTTAAATAAATATGAATTAAAAGATCTACAATCCAGTAACGTAAATTCACTTATTAAAAGTAACACAAAGATTGGACAGAAAGTAAAATTAAATATATATAAAATTAAGAAACTTAAAGAGGAACTTCACTCTCTCAATCAACACTGACTATGTTTAATCCTCATGCTGCTAGCATTAGTAAATAGATAGGAAAGTACACTGCTCCAAAAAAAATGAAAGGAACCCTTTTTAATCAGAGAATAGCATGAAGTCAATTAAACTTCTGAGATTCTGATCTGGTCAGTTAAAGCGGAGTTCCACTTCCACAAAAATAAAAGTCAGAAGCTACAAAAACTGTAGCTGCTGACTTTTAAAAAACAGCCACTCACCTGTCCCATGATCCTGCGTTGCCCCCGCCGCAGCCCGTTTCACCGGTTGTCCTGTATTCCAGGTGCTGGCATTTTGTATTCCAGGCGCCAGGCTTTGGCTATGCTTCTCCTTGAACCAATTAAAGACATCCTGCCTGCACTGTACTTCCCTTCCCAGCCAAACTCAGTACAATGACAGTGTATAGTAATATCACTGATCACTGTACTACTGCCACTGGTGATGTCAGTGTCACTTAGTCAGGTCCCACCAAGTGTCAGTGTCAGATTGCCCGCCGCACTATCATAGTCTCACTGTAAGTCGCTGATAACCGTCATTACTAGTATAACCCAAAAAAAAAAAAATATATAGTATATACCATAGTTTGTAGATGCTATAACTTTCCCGCAAACCAATCATTATACACTTATTGGGATTTTTCTTTACCAAAGACATTTTGGCCTAAATTTCTGAAGAAATATGATTTTTATCAATTTTTTATTGGACATGTTTTATAGCATAAAGTAAAAAATATTGTTTTTTTTCAAAATTGTCATTTTTTTAAATTTATATAATAAAAAAATTAAAAAACCCAGTGGTGATCAAATACCACCAAAAGAAAGCTTCACTTATGTGAAAAAAATATAAATTTTGTTTGGGTACAGCGTTGCATGACCACGTAATTACCAGTTAAAGTAGCGCAGTACCGAATAGCAAAACAAAAAACAAAAAAACTGTTTGCCTTAATAACCATTTTAAGTAGACTTTACACTGGAACTATGGTTGCAGTGCTTTCTAGATAAAAATTCACAGATTGTGTAGAAATCCTTTTTAAAACTAGCTAGGATAAAGTTTGCCCAGAAAGTAACATCCTCCCCACTCAGAGGAAGTTAGAAGAACTGAAATTGATACATTCCCATTTGTGCTGAGCAATATGAGAAATTTTTCTCCGTTATTGCCAGGCTCAACACCTGTCTGGCAAAAGGATATCATCAAATCAAATGCTGAATGGAGATATAAAAAATCAATTTGACCCATCTACCCCGCACAGCCGCTGCTTTTCCTACTATTCATTTTTTTTATATCGAGATGAAGAAGGGAAGACTATAGAGCACCCTCGTTATTCATGAATCTTTATATTTGTTGTAATAAATAAACTGCACACTAGATCAAAATGCTAAACAAATGTACGTTTCTGGAAACTGGTTATCTGTCCAGATGGAGAAGTCTGCCATACAAGGAGCAAGAATGGGGCCAGTCAATGGCGCATATTGGCACAAATATATATATATATATATATATATATATATATATATATATATAGTATTCTGTAACTTTAAGTTTTTTTGTTTTTACATTTGTTACATTTCTAAAACCAAAAGGTTTTCTTTAGTAGGGAGTGACCCTTTCCGTTCTTTGGTGTGTTTTTTTTTGCCAAATTTGTCCCATCTGAGAGACTGCACATTACTTCTTGCCCTTAGACACAACAGGAAGTGGGAAAAATTCCCTTTAATACAGTTGTCACAAGAGCAAGTTTCCCCATTGGAAGATTTTCTCTCTATTCTTGTTCTGATGACAACTTAAAGCTGAACTCCAGGAATTTAGCTCCATTGTAAAAAGTGAAGGCACATTATGAGATAAGTCCAGTGAGGTGCATGACTCTTCCTGGGTGTATCTCTGTGATTCTATTACTCTTTACTTCTGATATCTGAAAGGTTTATATAACTCCTGAGAATGACAAATGGCTATTGCTGTAGTTCTGAGAGTCTGATAGTGGACCTTCTAGTCTTGGTGTTTTCAACAGCAGAGTCGATGCAGCAGCTAGGCCTGCCAATCCCCTCCTCCTGCTCAATCACAGAAGCCTTTGTATTGTGTGAACTCATTCACAGTATACAAAGGCTCCTGTGATTGAGCAGCAGAGAGGAGGGATGTGTGTGCTTCTCTACTCTCACAGTCCCCGGTTGTCTCCTCTGGGAAGCTCACTAAGCTTGTCAGTTCTAAATAAATACAGTGCGTTGAAAAAGTATACATACCCCTTGAAATTTTCCAAATTTTGTCATGTTACAACCAAAAACATAATGTATTTTATTGGGATTTTATGTGATAGGCCAACACAAAGTGGCACATAATTGTGAAGTGGAAGGAAAATGATTATTGGTTTTCAAAATTTTTTACAAATAAATATCCGAAAAGTGTGGCGTGCATTTGTATGCAGCCCCCCGGAGTCAGTACTTTGTAGAACCACCTTTCGCTGCAATTACAGTCTTTTTGGGGATGTCTCTACCAGGTTTGCACATCTAGAGAGGGACATTTTTGCCCATTGTTCTTAGCAAAATAACTCAAGTTCTGTCAGATTGGATGGAGAGCGTCTGTGAACAGCAATTTTCACGTCTTGCCACAGATTCTCAATTGAATTTAGGTCTGGACTTTGACTGGATCATTCTAACACATGAATATGCTTTGATCTAAACCATTATTACAATTCCATTGTAGCTCTGGCTGTATGTTTAGAGTCAACAATCTGACTTGAAAATTGCTGTTCACAATTATGCGCCACTTTGTGTTGGTCTTTCACATAAAACCCCAATAAAATACATTTACGTTTTTGGTTGTAAAATGACAAAATGTGGAAAATTTCAAGTGGTATGAATACTTTTTCAAGGCATTGTATATTCTTTGTGAGGAATTAATTTAAATTAAAGTTTTTATCCCGAGTTCATATTTAAAATTTAGCATTTTCCATGACTTTTAGTCTCATTAAAAGTGTTCAAAAAACCAAAACGGAGGCTTCAGACACACTTTATGTATGCTTCAGGTACACCTATGCAGATATACAGTCATTGCCAAAAATATTGGCACTCCAGCATGTCTGCCAGATAATGCACTACTTCATCTAGAAAATTATTGCAATTACAAATGTTTAGGCATTCTCATGTTTATCCCTTTTGTTTGTATTGGTATGACACAAAAAAGTGGAGAAACAAAAAGCCAAATCTGACACATTCCACGCAAAACTCCAAAAATGGAGTGCACAAACTTATTGGCACATTCTCAAAATTGTAAGAAATAATTGCATTCCAAGTTTGTAATGCTCCTGTTTTTTGTAATTAAACTCACCTGTATCAATTAACAGATCTTAATCTTTCTGTATCCAGTGTGCCCAACATTGTCAAGAGGTTTACAGCCCATGGCACTGTAACTAATCTCCCTGGATGTGGATGAAAGAGAAAAACTTGATCAAAGATTGCAACAAATGGTTGTTCAAATGGTGAATAAAGAACCTTGATCTACTTCCAGACAAATTCAAACGGACCTTCAGGCTCAGGGTATAACTAAATGTCGCCATCTGAATGAAAAGGGACGCTATGGTAAGAGACTTAGGAGGACCTCACTGCTGACACAAAAACATTAAAAGGCCAGATTGGAGTTTTCCAAAACACACCTGAGGAAGCCAAAATCCTTTTGGGAGAATGTACTGCAAACAGATGAAACAAAATGACAGCTTTTTGGTAAAGCCCATCATTCTACAGTTTTTAGAAAAAGCAATGAGGCCTTTAAAGAAAAGAATACAGTTCCTACAGTCAAACATGGTGGAGGTTCACTGATGTTTTGGGGTTGTTTTAGGCACTGGATGTCTTGACCATGTGCATGACATTATGAAATATGAAGACTACCAAAGAATTCTGGGGTGCAATGTAGGGCCCAGTGGCAGAAAGTTGGGTCTCCATCAGAGCTCATAGGTCTTACAGCAAGTCAATGACCCAAAAAGCACCCATGGTTTAAGACAAAGCCCTGGAGAGTACTGAGCCGCCAGCAATGAGTTCAGATCTCAATCGCATAGAGCACCTGTGCAGAGATCTCAAAACAGCAATTGGGAAAAGGAATCCTTCCAATCTGAGAGACCTGGAGCAGTTGGACAAAGAAAAGCGGTCCAAAATTCCAATAGAGAGGAGTAAGAAACTCATTAATGGTTATAAGAAGCGATTGATTTCAGTACATTTTTCCAAGGAGTATGATTCCAAATTTTAAATTGAAAGTACCAATCATTTCGTCCAGTCCATCTTTGGGATTTTTTGTGGAATGTATCAGATTTAGCTTTTTGTTTCTCCACTTTGTTGTGTCATACCAATACAAATAAACATGAGAATGCCTAAACATTTCTAATTGCAACAATGTTGTGAGTGAAGTGGTGCATTATCTGACAGACATGCTTGGGTTCCAATATTTTTTGCCATGACTGTAACCTCCAATGCCCATCAGTCTGTCTGACTACAGTCCACATCTCTTCTAGACAGCTGTCAGACAGTAACTTACAGTTTATTTGCTTCAAAGTGCTGGATTATCTAGACACCACATAAGTAAAGTGCTTATTTTATGTTTAAAATGATTCTGTGGCTAAAATAAAATCTGTTCCTTGCAATGAAGACAATTTGTATTTGCCTCTCATGGCTAATGCAGCCAGTTTG